TGTTCAAATGACTGGCAAGTCTCCGCGCAAATTGCTCACGCAAGTCACTAAACCGCTGCTGTTGCTGTTTCACTGCATGAAGCATATCATGTCCTAAAAACAAAAAGAACTTCACAGAGTACAAAATATATAGTAATATATTGTATGTGGGAACCAAAAGAACCAGAGGTCACAGTTCCCTCAAATCTACAGAAACAAAATCTGAGACTAGTTGGAAAGGCACATACAATAAAGACACTACCATAACAAATTTTGTATGTTAGACTGTAGTCTAATGAAAACATTACCTGGCCGAAGAGCTACATTCATACACTGCAGAAGGGCATCGGCTGCATTAGTGCAGGCCTCAATGCCTCGAGAAGATGTCAGATCTCCCTCCTGAAGGGCCTTTATATGACCTTTAGCCAAATCCATGTGATTCTACAAAATAATGGGTAAGCCGTAAGCAGGTTAGTTTGTTAGTCTGCTGAACAAAGAATGATAAATACAATTCCATCATTACAAAAACTTACTGAAGTTAGTGCAGTAATAAAACAGAAAAATAAACTCATTATTTTAAATGAACCTCATATATGGTTGCTAAAGAGGGCAGCAATCTAGACGAATTTTATACCTGATGTGAACAACCATAGTAAACACAATAAAAATGCTTACCACTAAGAACTCTATCTCTGACAGTAGCTTCACATTATTTGTGTTGCTGAGATGGATTAGGTGGTTGCTTTCTGAAATTTGATCCATTTGCTCTTTTACACTCTGAAGCATTTCTTCGTAACTGCTCAGCTTTAGCTCAATTTGGTCAACTTCCTTCAGAGCTTCATCCAGCAACTTCATCAAGATATTCACCTGTTTCTCCGAGGCCATAATTGACTGGATATTTGCCTGGACAGAAAATCAAGCCACAACATTTTAAGAGACATTTTTATATCTCAAAAACATTCTGATACCTCCTTCTGTCTCTATTACTGTCAAATAAACACTTTCCAAAACTCTTGATGAAAGCAGCAAAACAATATAAGCTTGTAGTACTTCTCATTTAAAGTGTTATTGAACACAGCAGTCCCTCAGTCTATGACACTTCTTTATTTCATGAAGATATAAAACCAAAACTTTGCTCAAGTTCTTAGAACTGAAGTACTGATCTGCACAAAAATAAAAACCAAACAGTAATCCCTACTATACTGGAACATTTTTAGTTCCAGAAAAACAGCTTAGGTGATAAGGTCACATTTTCTGTTGCAAGATCAACTATCTCTATGATAACAGCCATTTTCAAAAAGTAAGAGAAACATAAAACTTGACAATTTGAGGAGGTTGTTGACTGTTCCCTCAAGACTGTATTCCCTGCACCTCCTTAAGTTTTCTAAGAGACCTCTAGAACATTGGGTTGTTTAAAAAACAAAATAGCAAAGAATCTGCTACTGTTACAGACAGCTGAATACTGCAACCTTATTAGACTAAGCCAGTTTCCTAATTACACTGAGAGTAATATTTTAGGCCTAAGAGTTTACATCCATGGACATGAACATCTATTCTCTGTCTCCCTGCACCCCTGCCTTCAAGAAAAGTATATGCAGAATGCCTCTCTTTTTTCTTCTCAACTCTTCATTCGAAAGCCTGCGACTTACCCCAGGTGTGGAAGGTAAAGAGCAAAGTTGAAGATCTTCAAAATCTGATAACAGACAGGACATAGCTCTGCTTAGGAGCAGATATACATTTATATTTAAATACGTGGCAGAACACGTTAGCTACCTTTTCAAAGAACACTACGTAGTCAGTATCAGTAAGAACAGTTCAACATGCTAACACGCTGTACATCAGAAGAAATGTTTACCCCATCTAGCACTTGTAGCTCTCTCGACAACTTCTCTGCAAAGGCTTCAGCATTAGAAATAGCATATTCACACCCTTCCATCATTATTTCAATATCCTGCTCCTCTCTTGCATTTAACTCCTGGTATTCATCCACAGCCTCTTCATCACCTCCTGCTACACTTTGATTCTCTCCACTTGGAACGGATTCTTACATAGAGAAGGGAAATAAAACACATCATCAATGCAGAAAGTCACACGCATTTTGAGAGTACTTAAGCACGTTCAACTATCTTTAAGTAAATGAATCCATTTAACTTTCATAACAAGCACCTGCTACCTACGTACGCTTTTTTCAAGTCTCAGTCTTCCATGGGCTTCATTAAGATTTCCAGAACTGTTCCCAACAGTGATCTTTTCCAAATTATGCAACATAAGCAAAATACAAATAGCCACCTTCCTTTATTGCACGTACAAAGGGAGATACTGTCTCAGTTTATTCACCTCTCACGCTGGTAATCAGCATCAGAATATATTACAGCATTACACTAGACTTGTTAGCCGAAGACCAGTACAAGTTAGATTCTCTCTTGGCAGACAGAGCATAAGGGAAACACATGAAAGTTGATTAAGAAATGTATCACTGAATAAATAAAAAATATCTTGATGCTCAAGGTTAAGTTTCACAGCAGGGAAATCAGTACTGAAGTAACTGAAAATTATATAACAATGTTTTCATGAACTATGATTTCTCATGGCAGTGCTTGCTTAATTCAACAAGCCATTCAAATGCTGACAAACTATTTAGAGAACATGAAGGCAGTCCAGCCAGAAAGCATTTAGGACATTTGAAACATCTCTTTTATCTCTAGCAATTTGATAAGCTATCCAAAGCACTATTTAAAGAAAAGAAAAAGTATATTATTTAAGAAAAATTGCTTACAAAGCAGAATAAAGGAAAAAGGTGTTACGCACCTTCTGCAACTTTAGGCAGTTCTGAAGAATTAAAAGGTATGGAAAAGCAGAGGAAAGGAAGCAGAGAATGTTAGCTAGACAAAGCATGAACAGTGTGTCTATTTTTAAGTCCATGAACTTGAAAAGTTAGAGATTGGTTAAAAACAAATTTCAGTCAACACCAAAATACAGAAATGCTGTCCTTCCCGTTTTACATTTCCAATTCAAGTTCTTCCGCACAAGCCAGTCTAGTATTTAATATCAACAGTTTAACCACTTCTGACAGACTAAACATGAGATACGCTTACTCACTAGGCTCTACTAAAAATTTTTAACTATTAAAAAATAATGTGACCGTAAAAATATTTAATAGAGCATGAGGGAACAAGACACAAAGCCTTCTTAGCAACCAGTCACATAAACTGTAATAGGGTCCAGCAGAATTTAATACATGCTTCACAGTTTATAAACTGGAAACCCCACATAAAACCTCACATAATCTTTAGCATGCTACTGAAGTGTCACTTTTAAAAGCATTTTTCTAATTCAGGGGAAGTGAAAACCGAAACAAAAGCAGATTTGGTACACATTTAGACCTACCAGATCTTGCAGGTAGATTTTATTTTGTTCAAGAAACAGAATCTTAGAAATGCAATAAGCTTATCAAAATTTAGAGCTTCATTAATGAAGTATTTTGTCTCAGTTCTCAGTTTTCTAACAGAAAATCTGTTATCTAGTCCCTTGTTTATCTGAAGACTTAAAAAATATAAAAGGATAAAATCAAATAGGAAAAAAGGTCAGGATTAAGATTTTCTTCTTTTTTTTTAGTGAATCTGTTTTACATCAATAATGATTAAACTTTATACTTAACATAGTTGTAGAAATTTACCTTCCAAAAGCTGTGAACTAACATTGATAAAGTCAATTTTCTTTCTAAGATATCTCTGATTGAGTTTCCAGATACATGAAATGAAGGTGTTCTTTTCCACTGTGCTGCTTGCAACCCACTTGTACACTTTGTCAAAATGCAAGTCAAATTCAGGATTCTCCTGCAAGAGATGAGACACGTTACAGGCTCAACAGTCAAATGATTCTCTGAGCAGCAGAGATTGTTCACTCATTTAACTGAGATGACAGGATAAAAATGAAATTACACGGATTAAGTATCAACCTTAAGCTGATACACCAACTCTGGCACCCTGATCCACCTTAACAAAGGTGCTAAAAACATTGGAAGTGAAAACCAGAATCCACGCTATGAAGATAGTATTTTGTCAAGCCAGATAAGGCAACAATAACACATAATACAGATCCGTAAGAGTTTCAAGAAACATTTGACAGTGCTGTCTGCCCTGAAACACTGTCCTCAGAATGACTAAGGCCTTATGTTAACCTTCTGAAACTAAAAACGGTAGCTGGAATTACTGACAACATATACAACACAATTCAAGAAGACTTAGGGGAATAGGCAAGGGAAAAAAATTGTGAGCACTTAATATATTTTATAGATATGATAGTATTTGATAGTGCTGAACAGGATATAAAAGACTATTTGGTATTTTAACGGTAAAAAACTACTATAGAAGTATTTTCAACTACATTTATTGCCTGAGGAGAACGTTGCTTTGACAACATTTGATTAAAGTACTTTCCTTTCTACAGCCACTTATGAACTCAGTATGGACTGTAACTGGTAATAGTCTGTTTTAAAGACCATATTCCAAGCATTTTACAAGGTCCAGCCTCCTCCTGATGAAAAATGTTATTGCCTCAGATACATGTTAAATTCTTACTTATACATAGTTTGTAAAAACTACTATTGCTGCTACTTATTACTTATATTGTCACTACTATCTGTAGAAGCAGGCTGCATATGAAACCGCACAGGATGGGAAATGGTATTTCCTGTACAGCACAATAAAAGCAGTTCTGTTTTTTTTCTGTAGCTTATATTGGTAAATATCGTTACCATACATTTCCAAACAAAGACCATCATTACATAAAATTTGAGTTGTCTGACAACTAGTGCAGGAAAGGTGTGTGTCAAGAGAGTTGCATAGGATCACATTTAGAAACCAAAATATGATGCACCTATCAACTTTAATTCTGACATTTTCTAATATGAGAGTGTTTGGCATTCAACGTTTGTTTTTTGAAAGAAAATACCAAAATCTCTCATTAGAGTGGTATATACATTACAGCACATTTCTGAAAACAGTTAACCAAACTCTGTTTTGCAAGAAAAAGCCCTGAAAGATTATATAATTTTAAACGGAACCTTAAACTGATAGAAGCAATTCTCCAACACAGTATTTAGGAACAGCAAGGAAAATCTAAAATCTAGCCAACAAGTATGTGGATAACTGAAATAACAAAACATATTTAACCTACACTTGGACAGGGGGATATCAAAGAATTTTCAACTTCATAGTTTTCTGCACTATTCTTCCAAATCACCAGTTATCAAAACATAAAACCAGACATAACAGGATGAAGGATTTTCACCTCTGCCTGTTTGTACATCTTAGTTTATGACAACAGATGAATTTAAATGGCCAAAAACAAGTGGCTCTTGTTGTTCTATGGAAAAGAACACCACCTCAGGACTGCACGCTTTCCAACAAATGGCCAATGTCATGATTTGGAGAACAGATATAAGAGCTTACCTTGCAGCTTATATACTGCTCATTAAGAATGTTTTAAGTGTCCTAGCAAAAAACACTACATGTAGCTCAATGTCATTAGTAAGATGGTAATAATTTTTTTTAAGGGGAAACTAAGCTTGGAGTAAAAATTTACATAAGACTTGAAACAAACAAAAAAGTACTGGTCCTTAGCACAAGCACTCTACAGTCACTGAGAGATCACTACAATAAACAGGGCAGATATTCAGAATACTGCTAGTCAAGCAGATCTAGACTACTCTTACTCAGTTTACCAGGGTTATATTCTTGGAAAGGCAGGAAGAAAACGCAGGCATAAGCAGCACAGGAATGTATCATCCTAATTCCTAATTAATGTGTTACCAATCTAAGCTTTAAAGCAGTCAATATCAGGGAAGTTAACTCTAACTTGGAACCAAAAGGATGTTCTAGGCAGACCACTAAATGAAAAAAAGTTACACGTACTTTAACAGCATCTTTGGCATCAACAACAGCGAGATCTCGAAGTGCCCATGCAGTCTGCCTTTTGTAGAAATCTCCCTTGTCGGATTTTTTCACTTTTACCACATTTACTTGCACTGGTCGTTCCGTTGTCACTGTTAAATGAAGTAAAAGAGTAATTTCAAAATGCACAAATTACCTTAATATCTGTTTCTGCTGTATTTCAACTTCTGAAATGAATTATCTGTGGGGGAGATTTCATAATATTTATTTGATGAAAAGAGACCCTTTGAAACATTTTCATCCACAATATCCACAGCTCAGTTTAAGTCTCAGTCAACCAGATATACATCTTTATACAGCTTGTGAAGTAATGAACCCCATATACAGATAGTTCTTTGATGCAGCAGACCTCAGACCTTGGCCACATAACTGACAATGCACAGCGGTAACTGGAGATTATAGTCAGAATAAAAACATTTTCTGAGATTCCTCAGTCAAAAAAAAAAAAATCTAGCAAGCTAATTTATTGACAGATCGTCCCAAAGCACCTAATTTTTTTGAAGAGACATAATATAATACACATACACTCAAAGGAACATTAGACTTCCGTTCAGTTACTGTGCCTTTCCAGAGCCCTCTGCCTTGGACTCTAACCAGTACTCCTGACTGCATTTTATTTAGGCTGATCAGCCTAACTGCCTCCTAAATCCCCCTTTAAGCACTATATAAAGCCTGCTTCAAAAGCCCACCAGTCCCACACAAATAATTTTGATTCTTTCATTTCAAATTACAATGAGATCCGGGAATGAAAGTACAGGGTTTTGTTTCTTTTTTAATAGAAGCAATAATGGAAGTATAAACTACAATTGATTTTCTCCATTAGAAATGGAAAGCACCTGTTTTACATGGGGCAAGAATAAATATTGTGAGTAAAGCTAAGACAAATGCAACTGAATAAAAAACAAAGGTGAAGACACGAAATACGGTGTAGTATTACTATGTACCTGTGGCACACAAAAAGCAGTTTCTCTTTTTTTTGCCTGCTTTGCACACGTTCACAATGCTCAACAAGCGTTCATCATTGGGAGTGAAAATATCCCTCTGTAAAGCATGCTTGATTGCAGTCATTTTCTCTCAGCTGAAAGATTTTAAGAAGTCATAATACATTCAGGCACATTTAACACAAAAAAAAAGAACCAGTCATTTACTTACAGCAACTACAGTTTTTTGAAATGAAATTTTACAGCTAACTCAATGAATCATAATATAGACAAGCATGATTTAGGTAGAAGACCAGCCCGCTTCAGGAAAAAGTCCAAGATAAAGCTTACTACCTTACTTCAGTTAGACAACTGTAATGTATCAACACTAGGATGATCCTTCTGCCTAATGGAATGGAGAACAAAAAGGTTCTTAGTAGTAAAGTAGAATGTGAGGCATTAATAAAAAAAGTTGAACTGGGAATCAAGAAAAAAAAGACTCCCTCACTAAGTAGTGGAATTTTAGAATGGGTATGAATGCCGTGGAACTGGTAAAAACCTGTATGAAGACAGGTGAACAAAAAAAAACCAGAAAATTTGACAGGATGGAGAATGTGAAACTAAAGTCACTACAGTGATGACTTTAAATGAAACTTCCTAATTCCTAATTCTCTTCTGGTAGAGGGAAAAATCATTCTGATTCAGGATCAGTGTCCCTGCATGCTTCCTCACTCCCTCCTGCCTTGGTATTGTAAGAGAAATTCTAAATTAGTACTTGATCCCATGTTATGGGGATTCTCAAGTATCCTGCTCAAACAGCTTTCTTAAAGCAGAATAAGTACATCACATTCTATTTGGTGGCAAAAAAAACCCAAGCCAACCAAACAAAAAAACTCCAGTCTGTACTAGAGTTTTCTCAGGTCTGATACCTCTGTAAAGAACATTTGTGGTGGTTATCTGTTGTCAAATTTATCATTGTTGATTCCTGGAGAGAACCTTATTATTACCGTATGAGTGGCACCGTGTTTATAACTTAACTTTACCCAGCAAGCAGGCATTACTTTTTTTTTTCTTAATTAATAAAACCACAAGACATTGCAGAGGGCCCATCTAATAGAATTTAATAAATTTTTCTTAAGTCAGATTTATCTTCTGGATATTGAAGTCTCTTTCATAAAAGCTTCCTTATAACAGAACAGCTCTTGGAAGACAAAAACTATGGGAACAAGTACACACCTAAGGCAACAAATCTCTGAGCCTCTAGAAATACAGCTTAGGGTTTGTTTTGTGTTTTAATGTTTTGCAAAGACCTGTTTCACTGCTCTTGCCAGCTACCACATACTGTTAAATGTAACAGGCTGCTGTTTTTCCTCTTTATCCTCAAATGAGGGTCCAGCAATTGTTACAGTAATGCAGAATAAAGAAATGCATCTTTGTAGCCGGTAGAAAGTTCGACTTCAAGGCTGTCTAGATCTGAAAAGGCCACAACACAATTTTGCAAAGATAAGTCCATTAGGTTTGACTAGTTTGCTGCCTTTTCTTGGATGCACGGAGTGGAGCTCAGAAATGGAACACTCCTTTTGATTATGAGGTTTCTTACCTAGCAAGGAAGTAATAGGATATTTCAAAAAGAGAAAGTAAGCATGTATGCTTAGCAATAAATCAAGAGATTTCTTCCAGGAATCAAGTGCTGACTTGAACCCTGTACTCTAACCA